CTTCTCTTCTCTTCTCTTCTCTTCTCTTCTCTTCTCTTCTCTTCTCTCTTGCTACATTTTCCTCCCAGTCAAAATCGGCATTCCTCAGTAAAGTAGAATTCTCTTTATTTCAAAATCATTAGAAGAGAGCAATGTATCAGTAATAAAAATGAAAACTTTATGACAAGGGTAAGACGAGCATCTTTTCTACAGCTGAGGGGAAAACAGACACTGCATTTAGAAAAACTAGAATGACAACCAGATCAAACTGTACTTCCTCCCTTCCTTCTCCCCCAGCTTTAGGGATGCTGGCCGGAAAGATGCACTTGATTTTTTGAATGGAAAGGATTGTGCTTTTCCACCAGATATTTTCAAATGCTGGTCCATAGACATTAAAACTCATGCCTTCCTTTAGGTAAATAATAGAAATGCTCCTGCATGTAATTCAGAGACAAACTGTAATCACTCCTCCAGCAGATTTCATTTTGGAAGAGGAGATCCTATTAGGATCCAAATTCTTTGCATGCCCTCTGCCCACAGACTGAGCATTCTTGCCAGCAATTAATTTCCTTGCTTCCTGCTGTCCCCAGCATCTATATTATTGCTAACCAGAACTTTTTGCTAAGGTCAAAATGCTCCAGCTAAGATTTTCAAGCTACGCTTCTCAAGCTAAGGCCACACTTAAAGTTATCCACATATTTTGCAGTCACTCATTGCTTTTCCGAGGACAAAACATCACCATTTCTGATGCTAAAACCCTCAGGGAGCGAGTCCCCAGCAGCTGTTGCTGTGGGAGTCGAGATCTAGACTTCATCTGTTGAATTGACACAACGATAATAATTTTCAGTCCCTCACATTTGTCATTAACAAAATTGAGGTTTTAAACAGTTGACTTCATTCCTCAAATTAACATACCATAAAACATAATTATTAGTGAAAAAAAAAAATAGATGTGTGGCCAAAAATCAGTGATCCATTCCCTAAAATGTAAAAGCAAAGTGAGTTGTCACTGAAATCAACGCAATCATGTCAAAGACATCGGTTCTATTGAAATGCTATTTCTCTAGAGAGAATTTCTAGGGGAATTCATACTCCTCTAGAGGAAGGTTTTAGTCAAATATTTTAATCAAATACATATATCGTTTTAGTGCTCAGCTAGTACAATATTTCCCTCGAGAGATTCATTTTAGAGCATGCATTTCCATAGGTAGCATGACCATCAGAACTAAAGAAAATTAGGGGTTTGCAAGCCCTGGCATGTACTTAGCTTACAATGATTTCTTCTCCCAGCTATTGATTTGTACTAGAAAACTGTGACCTAATGTACAATGGAAGACCAACAATTAAATGTTATATTTGTATTATTACATTTTAAACATGAAATTTTTTAGGGTTTCAAATCAAACATGACATTAGAAAGTGCAAGGTAGGGTAATCTGTGGTGTCATGCCATGATGTCAAGGATGGCCTGTGAAAATACACTGGTAGAAGGAAGTATCACTTGCTCATCTGCTGCATGGACACATGCAATAGTTCATCACTCTCCCACACACACACAGGGCAGGTTGACAGATTTTGCTTCCACTGAAGTTGATGGCAAAATTTTTGTTAACTTTTTGTTGTCCCAGAGGAGGTGGCATTGGAATTTGGATTGCCGTTGTACTTCAGACTGTAATGAGGCACTCAAAGCAGTTTGGCAGGTTTGTTCTCTCCTTTTTGGTTATCGTTGTAAGAACAATGCAAGGCATTTTACAGAAAATGAATTCTGGGAGAGAAAAAAAAAAGAAAAAGAATAAAAGAACCTGAATAACAAAATACTTTCCCAACTCAGAAGCAGTAAGTTTTTATCACCTCATTGTCTCCTCCACACTCCATATGATACAAATGTAGGCGAACAGTGAGCAGAAGCTATCTATAGAAAGCAGTTTAAACTGTGAATTCTGCCTCACCTCCATTCTGCAGCTTGCCATTAGCAGACTATATTTGTACAGTTTATTATCCCTGTTCTGATAAAAAAAACCCCCATCATAAATCTTAGAAAGGTGCAAGCAACAAAATGCTTGGTGAGCGTGTCAGCTCAGAATTGTCTGCAGATCAGCGGGAGGCAACACGACAAATTTGCACTGGGTCCTGTTCTCCTGTTGCACACCTGGGTATCACAGCAAAATGTACTGCTAGTCTTTGCCCTCCATCAGTGATCTTCCAGCAAATGAACAACTTGGAGGCAGCAGAGGGTGGGAGGGAGTGCTGCTTAGAAAACCAGAAAATACACAGCAACTTAAAAATGGATTGGAACTGCCAAACTAATATGAGCCCGAGCTGAGCTCGAAGCATTAATTACTCATATACTTTTAGAAGTTATGAAACACGTCTGTCTTTGACCTTGTGTCTAAATATGGAATTGCCCATACAGAGAAGCTGCCTGGCATTTAATCATTCTTGCCTTTCACCTTGACAGAGTCAAAGTTGTTCTACCCCCACTGAGGGGAAGCCGTATGGCATGCAATTAGATTCCTACTCTGGGTTAAGTTACTCCTGTACGTTACATCTTCTGCCCATGATTCATCCCGTCAACTGTCATGTAAACAGGAGGAAATGTCAGATGAGGTTTTTTTCTGAACATTCGGTCATTTGGAAAAAAAAGTTATAATTTTTATTCAATTACTGCGAAGGCTCTGTTAGTATCAAGATAGAATTTTTCATGTCAAACACTTCACTAAGATGGCTGAACCTTTAAAAGTCGGTCTCTGAGACCTGAGCCCCTTCCTCCCCACCAAAAAAATGTGGGTTGGAAAGGAGCCCAGGAGAAGGGCAACCAAATCTTGTTTATTATCAGAGGGAACACAACAGCCATCAAGGAACTACGTAAAGACTTCACTTTCCTCCACCCAACTTTCTCCACTCTACAACAAATGCATTTTTATAGATATATTGGAAAAGCAAACACAAAACTGCACAGAATGAGAAAGTACACAGTAGTAAGGATTTAGATAGTGATAATATGAGATTCTGGTAGTTCCAAACTCATTAAAATAGTAATCCCCAAAGTCCTATTGTATATATATTACATAAGACTTCAAATTCAATTTAACATTTTTATTTAACTAGCTGGCTTTCAGGATATATGTGATTTCTTCCCTCTCAAGTGTATTACTGCTCATGCATTTTTTCCCTTTTAACTCTCTTCTTTCTTTACTGTTAACTTCAAGACTCATTTCTGTCCCATTCTCACGAGCACTGTCAAGGTTAGTGCTTGCTGACTCACAACAGTACTCATTATATTCAGACATTTGCAGGAAGAAGCACTTGCTATTGGAACAGGCAGGAACCTCGAGCCTGCAATGTCTGCAAAGCACCAGGTACGGCAAATGTCCAGTTTAACAGCAGCAGCAATAGTCACCCAGAAACCTGCCATTATATGGGGACAAGGAGTAAGAGCATTTGTAGACTCAGTGTAGGCATTGCCACCTCTTCAGTATCCACACAGCTGTCCATGAAAACAAGATTAAGCTGTAACCAGAACCGCGGATGAAACTCTGCAGTGCTAACAAGAAATCTGACTTGGTAGCAAGTGGAGGGTTCTTACATTTTTATTTGTCCTCCTCCCCATTTTAGATGGAGAAACTCCTATCGTGCTTCAGCCAACTAACGTAACGGAGAAGACACAACTAATTGGGGACAGCCATCGGAGCTATTGCACAGACTCCTAGAGCAGGAGAGCATGACCTGTTGGTGCTGCTCACTGAGTCTCACAGCAAGAAAAAACACACGATAAGTTCTGCAGCCTGTGTTTGTAGTTGTCTTTAAGCTAATCAAGAGTAAACTGAGAGTTATTTCCTATCAAGGCAGAATCTTCCTCTAGGCCACTTCCAATAGGTTGATAACCTGCACTGTGCATGGAAATATCTATGGCCAGTACAGAGGTCTACAGAGCAGCATGCTGGTCTCTCACGGCATCAAACTGCCAGGCTCAACATGGTCTTTCCCTCTAGTAATATTCCCTTGGGTATAGTTGCTCTAGCTATAGTTTCACCTCCCAGACACAGTCACGAGTCCCTTTCCAGACATACTGGCTCCACCTCTCCCTGTTCCAGGAACTTTCCTTGCATGCAGCAGTTTTGCTGGATGTGAAACATTCCTGTGAGGGAGCCCAGGAAGTGCTCTTTAGCAGACCTCAAGGGGGGAAAGTTGGTGGCGAGACAGACAGGGCTCTCCTTCCCAGAGGGGAAGTGCTCTTTGGAAAGCAGCTAGTGGCTTGCTGGGACCCAGCTCTGGCAATTATAAACCTGAGCCAGGACAAAGGTGCTCGGGAACTTTTCTGCTGGTGGTTACAGTTCAGGTCACTCCAAATCCAGGAGCTTCATCGAGAAGCACACACTGGCTCTGTGTCTTCCCCTGCACAAGCTGAAAACCCATGAGACAGTGGGCAAATGCCACGTGGAGAGGAAGGCTGGCCCTGGGCTGCCCCAGACCTTCTCTCCTCTTCTCACAGTCCTGTGGCAAAGATCCCTCATTTGCTTCCCAGCCAACAGCTTTCTGCCAGCTGGCTTATTCCCCATACCCCTGTTTTCTGGCCCCACTGCCCTGCTGGCACTGGGCTGGGAGCCATCACACCAGTGCAGGCACTGGGGCTGTGGGAGCAGTGAGGACTTGGCAGGGAAGGCAAGCAGCAAAGGAGTGAGTGTTCTCCTCACCAGCTCATCGGGGCAAGACTGAATCCTCTCCTCTCCCCCAGGCCCAGGGGCTTTAAGAGCACATGACGTGATTTTAAATTAAGAGTTAGAGATGAGGTGTACGTTCAAGTGTACCACTCCACAAGTCAGTGGAGATATATGTGGGTACAGCTAAATCAAGCACAAAAAAATTAGGCCACTGATTTGTAAGAGCTAAAGGAATACCTCTTAGATCTTAAACTTAGCACTTCACTGATTTGACATAGCAGTTTAAGTCCAAGATTTCTCCTTATTGATCATGTTACATCAGTCATTGCCAGTTCCGTGCATATACTATTTTTGTGTACTGTGGTCTAAAGGGGGTCGCATGTTCCACTAAATTATACAAACCAGGGAATATATAACTAGTCAAAAGTGTTATTCCTGTGCTTAGAATTGGATCCCACAGTTGCGAAACATTATTATCTTCCTTCTTTTCTCACCTTCCACAGCAAATGTCATCCAGCTGCAACTAAATATATGGGAGAAGAGTGTTTTTTGAGCACCAGCTGTAATTCCAAAGTCAAGAAATACTACTTTCAACATTTCTTTAAATGTCCCATAACACATGGACATTTTAAAGGCCATTACTTCCAGTTCAGGTTATGTATCTGTTCTCTGAGTGCATGCACTGGGGCCAGCCAATGCTCACGTTGCCCTCAGAAATGGCCCTGGTTTTCTTCTTCACAAAACAGGGAAGGTCTTGGCATGGCTGAGGCATGAGGCACAGGCCCTCACTTCCCTCCTACCCATGGGCTACTCTTGGCCCTCACTTGCGCACTGCAAATGATTTTGGGGACCACTCATTGGTACATAAATCCAGATCGCCCTCCTGCACCCTGCACACACATCTTTTGGCTTTCTTCACTATTACCCTTTACAGGGTGTTTGCTCTGGTGTAAGACCTTATCCCTGAATGAAGGAGTAGGGAGAGCATGTAGTGTATAACAAATCTGCAAGCAAAGAGATTTCCTAAGTTTCAGTGTCTGGGAAAGAAATTCACTGTGAAAATGTCCAAATGTTACATAGTAACTGTTTCCAGCAGAGAGTTAAAAGAGGCATTGGGAGAAAAGTCTGGTGTAAAGCTACATCAAACTATATGTGGAATCCTTTCCAATGTGAAATCCTTCCTCCTGCTCCCATGAAAGTAATTGGAAATTGCACCTTTGATTTCAACAACAGTTACAGAGCAGGCATAAAGCCAGGGAGGAAAGAGTAAATCCCATAATAACAAAAGCAAATGGGGAATTTTTTCACAATACCTTCAATGTCCCTCGGGAGCGCACTCTATGGGCCAGAGCCAAAGTTCACTGAAATCAAGGAAATTATCTCCATGGGCTTGAGATGTACCACAAGTCATGTGGTTCTTATTTACACTTTTTAAATGAGAGATTTTTCTTGGGAAAGATTTATGATTTGATCTCACAGTGTGATGCAAAGGTGGACAAGCTGCTGCATGTTTGCAAATCCCTTTTACAGACATAGAGATTTGTACAGAAGAGCCACAATGCATTATCTCAACTAGGAAAAAAACTCAGAATAAATCAGTGACCAAATCTCTGAGTGGGTTGTCCAGGACTTACAGCTTAAAGATCTGAACCCATGGCTTAATATCAAACAGCAAACTTAGTTTTTAGAGTACCAGGGCATTTGCCTCTCTCATTGATGTGAAGATCAGCTGTTGTGAGGACACATAGAGAAAGGGTAAATAAGGATTTCAGGACTTAGCTTTTCAATGAGATTTTGTTTGCTTTTCAGAAAAATTCCTAACATGAATATATGCTTATATGATCTGTTTCTGTGTACAGTTCAACTGCACACACAATAATCTTCTCAAAATGTACAGATCCTCAAATTTTTGCTCTATTTTGCTACATTTATTTATATGTAAAGAACCATGTATTCAAATCTACCTTGGCTGTCAACCACTCTGACTAATAAAGGTTGTATGCATGAATTTATGTAGCACTCCCTTTCCCTTTACCTTTCCACACTAACAACTTCATTCCAGTAACAGCAAGACAAGCTGTTGAGACAGCTGTCCAAAATTATGGCTTTGCAAGTGGCAACTCAGGGTTTCCCCGAAGAGGAACTAAGTCCTGGATTGCAGCAGACGAGCCTACCTATGCAAAGCAGCCAGAGCTGTAGCCACACGTTACAAGTCCTTTATACAATGCAGAAAGCTTGACTATATAAAAAAAAAATCATCAGTGTGACAAAGTGATGTAATATAGGAGTTTTACAGGTATCAGAGCCTCTATGAAACAATTTCCCCAGTGAAGGGTGTGTGCAGAGAGTGACACCATGATGCTGCTGAGGACAACAGCAGAAGTCCAGAGACATCCAGCATGTCACTCAGGGGTTTTGCACCAGTCCAAGAGCCAGCACAGAGTGCTAGATAAGTGCTACAAGACAGGAATATTTCTCACTAGGATGGTATCCAGTCTCTGTGACCACAGAAGCCCAAGCATTCGAAAAATGGACAAGGGGCAACTGTTTTGGCTGCATGTATTCTCAAATATCCATCCCTTTTTGTGTTCAGATATTAACACATACCCAGATTCACTCAAAATACCAAACAGAAGAGGCATGATAGAAGATTTAGGCATACTACCATGTAACCAGTTATTTAAGTAGTTTGTGCATTTTTCTCCCCACAAGTTTGTGAGAAAAGCCACTCTGTTTAATCTGAAAAGCTTCAAATATAATTGTATGCAATTTAATTTCATTACCTACCTTCTATTAGAATGAATACTGGTATTATTTCAGTCAAAAAGAGTTACACCTCTACCTCTTTTTAGAATAAAATCTAAAAGAAATCTAAAGAAAAATTAAGAAGTATACAAAACTGAGTACAGTTAAAATTATTGATTTATTTTTCTGTGTTATCAATCCTGTAGAAAAGATGATGTTCATTGTGCTGTTACAAAGCGGGGTGAAAGACCATGGATGACAGCAACCCCCTTCCTTCCCTCCACAAACTAAAGTCAGCTCAGTCATCACATCTGGCTTCTCCTTTTGCTTTGAGAGATGAACAGGTACAGAGTTTCTTACAAGAGGACTCAGTCCTTTGTGCCAATGTCACCTGACCCAGGGTTGGGAAGGCAGTAATAATGGTAGCAGGGACCTACAAGATAATAGAAAGACATCAGTAAAGACACACAATTTCCCACTGAGTGGGAGAGTTAATACATGCTAATCGTAGAATGGTTTGGGTTGGAAGGGACCTTAATGATCATCTAGTTCCAACCCCACTTCCATGGGCAGGGATGCACCCACCAGGTTGCTCAGAGCCCCGTCCAGCCTGGCCCTGAACACTTCACTGGGCTGAATCTGAAAACGCTGTGGCAGTATGTAAATATATAGATACAGCCCTGTTCTGTAAAAGTAGAGTCTAAACATTCGGAGGAGAGGAGGCTTGGAAAAATGACCCTCAGAATTTCAACATCCTAATTAACTCTGATGAGATAAAGGGATCTCAACAGGTATCCTCCTGCACGGGCTTGCTTTGTCGTTAAGTTGAAGTATGAACAACGTACACCCTGTTTTCCTTTAGAAATTCAGGGGGGTGTTGGCAGTCCCGCATCAGGCCCGGCACTCGCAGTTCCCGCAGGAACAGCCGCTCCTGAGAGTCAGCGAGCCACAACGGAGAGGCTCGGTTTGCAATGAGGCCGGATCGCTCAGAGAGAAACAGCCGTATCTGCAAAATGTCAAAGAGAAGATGTGTAAACGCACTTCCAATAACAGCGTGGGGTGGGGGGGGGAAAGAAAAAAAATCAACGTCTCCTTCGAGCCGGAATCGAACCAGCGACCTAAGGATTCCCGCGGGGCGAACCTCTACAGTCCTCCGCTCTACCAGCTGAGCTATCGAAGGGACCTGCCACTCACCTCGCCGCCGCGCTCTAAGAACGTACCCAGGACCGCTCTGCGCATGCGCGGGCTGTATGGCTCTCGGGCGGGCCTTAGTCGGGCCGGGCCTTTGTGGGAGCGGCCCCTGCTTCAGGCCGGGCCTATGCCAGGCGGGGCCTGTGTCGGCCCTGCGGCCCGGCTGGGGTCCTGCCGGTACTGAACTATAGAGGTCTGCGGAGCACAACTCGGAATCGCGTGGGGCCAGTGGCGCAATGGATAACGCGTCTGACTACGGATCAGAAGATTGTAGGTTCGACTCCTGCCTGGCTCGTGCTTGTTTTTGTTTTGCTCTCCGGTCACCGCCCCTAGTAACGCGCAGCAGGGGGGAAGGCTGTTGTTTTTTCATCTGATCTCAGCACCCCGACCTTTCATTTCTATCTTTCACTCTCTCAATTTTCTTTTCTCCTCATCTCATCTCACCATCCTGACTTCATCACGAACTGTAGTGGTAGGACAAGGAGTAATGGGTATTAATTGAAAGAGGGGAAATTTAGGTTAGATATTGGGAAGAAATTCTTCACTTTGAGGCTGGTGAGGCACTGGTACAGGTTCCCCAGAGAGGTTGTGGATGTCTCAACCCTGCCAGTGTTCAAGGCCAGGTTGGATAAGGCCTTGAGCAACCTCATCTAGTCCCAGCCTGGCATGGGGGTTGGGACTAGATGATCTTTAAGGTCCCTTCCAACCCCTTAACATTCTATGATTCTCTGATTTAACCCCATCTGTCCACCCAGCACTTCATTGGAGCGTTGCATCTCCCAAAGCAAAACACCATTGTAGGCTTAAACTTTTCAAACCACTTAAAGATACAGCTTGTCAAATGCTTTAACTGTGCCAGCAACTCAACTTGATTAACACACCAACACATTACATGGGGGAAAATCATTTGGGCCCAAGCAGAGGAGCACTGTGCTCGGCATTGGCCCGACACACTATGGTCAGTCTTACAAACCACAGCCAAGAAAACAAACAGGGGTCTCTGAAGGCAGCTGCAATGCTGCTCTGATGAAGACTAATGGATAATGGTGATTATCCATTAGCCTTGAGAAGGGCAAGAGCACTCTCGTTGTGCAGTTGAATGAAAAGTGTATGATTTTTGCAACAAAACAAACATTTTTGGTGTCTATAAAGACTATGCATGGTATAAAGAAGAGCTTGTATAAAGCATTATATAAAGAACAGAAAGGAGAAGCGAGGAAGGCATCCCCCATGTTTAGATTTGAGAGTAGCCATAGTCATTGACTCACAGAATGCTTTGGTTGAAGGGACCTTTAAAGGCCATCAAGTCCAAACCCCTGCAATGAGCAGGGACTCTTCAACTCAATCAGGTTGCTCAGAGCCCTGCCCAACCTGACCCTGAATGTTTTCAGGGATGGGACATCTACAACCTCTCTGGGCAACCTGTTCCAGTATTTCACCAATCCCATTGTAAAAAACTGCTTCCTTATATCCAACCTAAGCCTACCTCTTCCAGTTTAAAGCCGTTGCTCTTTGTCCTATTACTGCACGCCCTTGTAAAAAGTCCCTCTCCAGCTCTTTTTGCAGGCCCCCTTTAGGTACTGGAAGGTGCTCTAAGGTCTCCCTGGAGCCTTGTTTTCTCCAGGCTGAACAATCCCAACTCTCTCACCCTGTCTTCATGGGAGAGATGCTCCAGCCTTCTGATCATCTTCATGTCCCTCCTCTGGACTCTCTCCAGTAGGCCCACGTCTTTCCTGTGCTGAGAACCCCAGAGCTGGACACATCAGTCTGTGGATTGAGCACTAGTTTCCTATAAAAAGTGAATGAATAAATAACTGAGGTAGCTCACTAGTGATCTTAGCATTTGGAATCGGTGTGCCGTACGCTGCCGCGGAGGGCGATGGTGACGGTCACGATGCAAGGGGGCACCAAAAGACATGCGAGCCAGGCAGGAGTCGAACCTACAATCTTCTGATCCGTAGTCAGACGCGTTATCCATTGCGCCACTGGCCCCCGCACGCGAGCCTGGCCGCGGCTGTCGCCCCCTCACGGAGCCCCCGTCCCGCCGCTCGGCCCCTGCTCGACGGCGGAGCAGGGCGCATGCGCGGGGCTCCGGGCGGGGCGGGGCGGGGCGGCTCCTTGTGCGGCCGCTGGGGGGCGGGCGGCAGGTCCCTTCGATAGCTCAGCTGGTAGAGCGGAGGACTGTAGAGGTTCGCCCCGCGGGAATCCTTAGGTCGCTGGTTCGATTCCGGCTCGAAGGAGACGCTCCACATTTTCCCTCCCCACTTGGGAATTTTTTGGTCGCTCGGTGAGGAACAGGAGGGCGGCTACGCTACCTCTCAGGCTCCTAGAGCCGTTTCGACCATGTATGGTACAGAAGCAAGTCACATCTTTTCTTTTCTTGGGGTGGGGGAAGCAAACAAAAAAAAACTTACTGCAGAGGTGGCAGCCCCGCAGTAAACATTGAAATCCTTGTTGCAGCAATGCTTTGGGAAGTGCTTAGTTTTTTCCCATCATAATATTCATTATTATTGTTATTGTTATTATTTAGTTATACTAAAAGATATTATAATTTAATAAGATTTAATTAATAATATCTTATAATAACCACAGCATTTTTAAGGGAAGGGACCTCTGGAGATCATCTAGTCCAACCTCCCTGCCAAGGCAGGGGTACCTAGAGCAGGTTACACAGGAACGCATCCAGGTGGGTTTTGAATATCTCCAGAGAGGGAGACTCCACCACCTCCCTGGGCAGCCTGTTCCAGTGCTCCGCCACCCTCAATGTAGAGAATTTCTTCCTTGTGTTGAGCTGGAACTTCTTATGTTTTAGTTTATGTTCATTGCTCCTTGTCCTGCCAATGGGCACCACTGAAAAGGGTCTTGCACCATCCTCATGGCACACACCTTTGAGATATTCATATGCATTAATGAGAACGCCTCTCAAACTAATAATATATATTTGACATCCTCCTATGTGAAGCCAAAAAATTTAAGCATTTTTATCTCAATCTTAGCTATTTTTGTTAGATCATCTTTTCCAAGGTAGTCCTTAGTGTGCTAGTTCAGCTCTGGGCAGTTTCTCCTCATTTTGCATGTTGCTTTCCATGATGCCAAATAATCCTTACTGATTGTGCTTTCTATGATGCCAGATAATCATTACAAATGAGGGCTGTGGACATTCTGGCTGATAGGAGTGGAAGAAAGTGCTCCACAGTCTCCTGACTTAGCGCAACAGACTTGATGTTTGGTCCTTTGGTTGTGCCATAAAGGAGGTTGTTCTAGGAGAACATGGAGCAGAGGGAGAGGGGCCATAGAGGTCCTTTATACAGAAGAGGTTTAATGCAGACAGGTGTAGGCTTGCTTAGGATATAGTTAATAAGAAAGCCAGCACTCATACTCTGCTTTCCCCCCCTGTTTTCTATTGTTTCCTTTTTCTTTCAAGTCTTCTTTTCCATTACAGGCACTACATAGGGTGCAGAAAAACATGCTTGGCAACAACTCCTTGCTTGGAGAAAGTAAACATGTCTGAAAGCATCCAAATCTGTCTGCATAGCAGGGGAAGAATAGAAGTGAAGTTTTCTCTTCAACAGAACGATGACTGAGTCTTCTCTCCTTGTGAGAGTGTTTCTCTGGGGTAGATTTCATATATGAGAGCAAAGAAGACCCACTCTCTGGGAATATAATGCAAGTAAGATTATCAGCAGGGAAACAGATTTATGAAACTCAGCAGGAGTCAGACCTACAAGCTGCTCATCTGTAGTTACATGCTTTGTCCCTGGCTCCAGACACCTCTATATTAATTAGTATGGTTTTGTGTGTGTGTATGGACACACACAAAGACACCAACAACAATCTTTTTCTCCTTTCTCTTCCAGCACGGTGCAGTGCATCCCTGTCAGGAACTGGTTCAGGAGAAATCCAGGCATGAAAAACCTGCCCATTGGAGAACAGAGGCACCAAGGTGAGCAAACATTAAGGAAAGACATTTTCTTAGGTGTCTGGTGTCCATACGTATTTGTGCTCACCAGCCATCAAATCTAAATCCAAAATGTAGAAGTACATCCCTGTGCCACTCCCCAGTGTGGGTCAGGGAACAGAGTCCATTCAGGGCCAAAGATTTGCTTTTTTCATAAAATTCACCTCTTCCTGTATAAACATCTCTGAACTCCTTTGTTCCTTTTCACTGATTCAGTGGGAACTCTTCTCCTAAATGATAGCTCACAAAATAAAAACACTCTCAGGGTTTCTTCTGGAGAACGGACCATCTCCTTTCCCCCTCCAGCTCCATCTCTAGGATATTTTTTTCCCCCCACCCACCCAGAAAGTATTGACACACATGCATTTCTGTGTAGCAGTGTATGTCCCATAAGGGAGAATGAAATCCAGGAAAGAAAAATAACAAAAACAAAAATGAAAACCCTCACAAAATGTAGACACTGATCTCAGGACTTACTTTATGCTAAGCAACTACTGTGCCTCTTAAGGAACAGCCTGTTACATTCATGTGACCGCTTAGTTCAGCTTCCCATTCTTCTAGGACATGCTCATGGATCTGAAAGTACTAAACACTTTTTACTCCAGTAACATTCTATTCAGTGCTTAGATGATTGTGTAGCTTGCAAAATATGTCATTTAGGAGCAAGTTATTAGTGACCTGCAAGTGCTTAATTATTTCCATATCTGGTCTCCAGTGAGGGTAAATAATGAGCTGTGTGTGTACACCCTATTCAATCATTTGTGTCACTTAGTAATGAATTATGCCAGAGATTATAAAAACCCCTTTCATATGCTGAGCAGGATGTGAGGGTACCAATACAATTTCTTCATTTTCAACCAAGCTTCCCAACTTTTTTCCTCCATCCATGCACAGTGGAGTGGGACTCTCAGGGCAAACCAGGATTAGGAGATGGGGTGGGACTCCCAGGACAAACCAGGATTAGGAGATGGGGTGGGACTCTCAGGACAAACCAGGATTAGGAGATGGGGTGGGACTCTCAGGGCAAAGCAGGATTAGGAATACGATGTTTGGACGGCTGACAGCAGGCAAGGAGTGAAAAACTAGCAACAGCGAGCCAGGCAGGAGTCGAACCTACAATCTTCTGATCCGTAGTCAGACGCGTTATCCATTGCGCCACTGGCCCCCAGATGTTAAAATTTTTTAATGAGAGTGG